GCCCGGCGGAGCGCCGCCGCCGTGATGCCCCCGCGTCGGCGGCCTCCGCGCCGCCGAAATCGGAGTTCGCGGAGTTAAAAGTCGAAGAACCGCCGCCGAAATCGGATTTGGGCGAATTCAAAGTCGAAGAACCGCCGAAATCGGATTTGGGCGAATTCAAAGTCGAAGAACCGCCGAAATCGGAGTCCGACGTGGAGGCGCTCGCGCGGCGCGGGCAGACCGGCCGCGGCGGGCGCGTGAAGCCGCCCGGGCGACGTCGGAGTCCCCCCGACATCCCGCGAGGCCGCGTTAATCCCGGGGGCAAAGGGGCCCGACTGCGGGAAATCGAGGGCGCCGGGGGGCGTTGGGGGGGGGAAGCGAAACCCCCGCGACCGCGGGGGGCAAAAAGGCGGAAAAGGCCCCCCCACAACCGGAAAAAGGGGTGAAAAATGGGCCTTTTCGCATCCCCCCACAATTGGAAAGGAATCCTCGCTTTATCCTGAGAGGGGGGAGGAGAGGTGAAAAGACGTTTAACGCCAATCCGCACAATTCGCGGATTGCCAAAGGGAAAACGTTCTCAAACGGCCCCCCGCCAATGAACCAAAAATGAAGTTTGGACGGAATAAAACCGCCCTGGACGAGGAACTACGGTGAAAGAAACGAAAAAAAAGGGGGAAAATATCCCCCCCCCTTGTCATTGCCAGGACAAGAAGTCTGGCAACGATCCTTTGGGTTGGTTGATGGGAGCCCGCGGGGCTGGTATTCGGCAGAAAACGATACAATAGGCCGACGGTTGTCGTTTTGGACTTTGTAGGAGAACCCTAAAAGGAAGGCAAGAAGAAAAGGAATATAAATAACCCAACATCACCCCCACTTAGAGAAAAAAACATACATTAAAAAAAAGTATACGTTTCAAATATAGCACACCCATAAATGGTTAAAAAAAAAACAGATGAGAATCCGACCAGCTAAAAATAAAAAAGGTTCTTAAGCACCATATACAAATATTCCCCAAACACTTGTGTAGTCGACATAAACCGGAAAATATATGAAAACGAACCCGCCTTAATTTATAATAAAAACCATCCATCCAAAGCCGGCGCGTGGAATACACCGCCGGTTGGCGATGGAGGCCTCTTTCACAAGTCCATCCCCCGATGCGCTCGTGCGGAGGACCTTTTCCCTTCCAAAAAAAGGCAAACATTGAACCTGACACCTCACATAAAGGCGTTATTGAATTACCGCGTTGTTGTTGTTGATGTTGTTGTTTTAGTTTAGTTTAGTTTCGCGTTCTTTTTCCCCCCCCTCCTTTTTTTTGTTAATGAAAACGCGTCCCGCAATAGCAATGCTCCTTCGTACACTTCGGGTGGTGGTGTTTTTTGCCGCCGTGCGAGTGGGCGCCGCTGCGCGGGTCCGCGTTTTGCCGTCCGTCGATCGGCCCCGGGGGGGCCAAAGGCCCGTCCGCGGGCGGAAAAGGCCCGGAATTCGTCGTTTCGGTGGTGGGAGTTGCGGGGGGGGGATTGCGATGGCCCGGGGAGGGAGAAAACTCGCCCGCGGAGCTGTTCGCCGAGCTACTACTACTGCTGCTGCTGCTGCTGCTACTACTGCTACTTTCGCCGAAGAGTTTCTTCTTGTGAAAGATACAGCAGCTTTTGCTGACGCGCTGGTTCTCGAAGTCGCGAACGTCGGGGTTCCACGAAACGCGATGCCGCCCCCGCCCTTCCCCGTCCAAGTGGGAGGGCCGGAGCCGCAAAAACGCGACGCGGCGGGGGGGCTGCTGGACAAACACGCCCGTCTGGGGCTCCCGCGTTAAAAAGGCTTCGTTGAGGGGGTCCATCGGGTGCAATAAGGATAAAAAGCGTAATAATATTCACAATACTCGACCACGAAATACCTCAATAATCGATCAATAGGTCCCGTTATTCACGTAGGATAATAGCAGTGCTACCAAAGATAATACGATTCCAAAGGGACCATAGGCCAGTAGAGAAATACCCCATCGTAATGTAGGGAGGGGTATAGTGTGTAAAGTAAAAGAGAAATAGAAAAAGGAAAAAAGAGTCCTATTCACATCGAAAGAGATCACTATCAATAGCGATCGAATGCCATTGCATCATGGAAAGTTGGGGGATAAAAGTTTCATGATCACCAGGATGTCCTTTAAAGGATAAGTTAAGGAAAGTCAGACAACACGGATGGTGGTCTGCGCATCGCGTCCTTGGTGTGCTGAACAAGGTACATATATCATAACATATCTCACACAACATACATGTCATTGTGGAAACTATAGTAGAATTTACACTAAATGGAAATTATGGCTTAAAAAAAAAATAGCACCCATTCCTTCTCTTGAATTATACAAAGAACAAAAATCGCATTTCACAATTAGTACGACGACAACCCTATTCCTATATTAGATGTCGTTCCTATCGCGGTGATATATTCTGTGGTTGTTTGGTTTTAATTTGAGGGTTTTGATGGGAAAGTATACATATTGGTTTCGATACAGCCTTCCAGGCTCCAATAAGAGATACATCTTTTTCTTTTTTTTTCTTAAGCACATGGATATTAGTGAAGCACTAAAAACAAACTAAAAATGAAGATCTGAGCAGTCCAGTATAGCAATACGCGCAATTTCCGACCCCCTGTCCATCCCGCGCTGATGGAAACCCGAGAACGTAAAAGGTAAATTGGGTAGTGAATAAACGAATAATAAAAACCAAAGGTAAAAAAAGCATGGTATAAAGATATAGATATATATATATAGAGAGAGAGAGAGGAGGGGGAGGGGGGGAGGGGAGTAGGCGAGGCCCCGATGGGGATCCCCCCTCCTCCTCCCCCTTCCCCCGTACACAAGACGCCTCCTCCTTCTACTAATGCTAACAATAGTGATGTTAACAAC